TAGGGCGCATGCGCTCGCCAGACAGACAGAGAGAGACAGAGAGACAGAAAGCGAGAAATCACCCCCCAGGGGGGATGGTCACGCCGCAATCCCTTCTCCTACATTCTCTTCTCAGGATCTTGGGCACGCACACACACCTGCCCGGCGTGAGTTTTAAGTCACCAGGTCCGGGACGTGATCCACGGTCGACTACGTGGGAGTCCAGCGACATAGCCATTATGCTAACTGCTGGTTCCCTAGACATTCTTTTTTTGATAACACATCAAAATAAGGAAGTTGTAGTTTCTTTCAAAATAATTGCAGGGCCAGTTGGTAATGTGGAGGTTAAGGTGGCTGGATCTCACATGGCCAACTTCAAGGTTAGAGTCCTGGAGCAGACAGCTTGAACAATACACTGTGCTAGTGTGTATGTATACCCAGAATCCCCAAAGAAGGGAGAAATGAGAAGAGATTGTGCTGTAACCATTCCCTATGGGAGGTGCTTTCTATCTTTCTCTCTGTCTTTCTCTCTCTCTCTCTCTCTTGTATCTCTCTGGCAAATGCTTGTGCCCTTTGGCAAATTAAAAAAAAAAATCATGTAAGTAAACAGTTTTATCAAAAAGTCCCTTCCTGTGTACCCACAGTAAGCTTTTCCTCCTTTCCATTTGACTCTATCCAGGCTGGGCCCTTAAATTATCAGAATGCAGAAAAACAAGAAATAGACTAAAATTAAAGCTACAGAATAGGCCTGCTAATCAGAAGAAAGTAATAAGAGTAGGATAAATGTGGCCGATTGTATAGGAACTTCCTCTCTAGCCCATTTCAGGCCACTAAAACAAAGAACAAACTTTATACCATTGTCTATGTTTTTAAAAGCAGTTCAACAGCAATAAGTCTAAGATACTGTACAGTATTGGTGTGATAAAATCAGCTGTGGGTATGGCCAAGACAATTTGTTACAAAAATAAGTAAACCACAAAAATCGGGGGATCAATTCTTCATTAAAAATCAAGGGTAGGGAGGGCCACTTAGTGGCACAGCAGTATTGTTGCTCAAGAGAAGCTGGATCCCACATGGCAATTACAGTTCCAGTCCTGGGCCCAGGCATGAGTGCAAGTGCCCAAGACCCGACCAACATGGAAGACTAGGGGAAGATCTCAACATTAGACCCTGTTGAGGTGCTCACCCCTTTCTCACTCTCTCTGTTGTGCATATACATGTACTTTGTCATGAATAAAAAGGAAAAAAAAAATCAAAGGTAGGAGCCAGGTGGTGCCTGAGCACACCAGGGTGCACTCTTAGCACACTGGCTGAGACTGAGGGTGGATCACAGCTTGAAGAACCTGCTGGGAGTAACTATGTCTCTCTCTCAAAGAAAAAATAAACTTGTTTTAAAATCAAGAGTATGCCTCTAATAATCTTACTTTTACTGATAAACATTCGAATATGCTTTCAGGATTCTTCCGTGTTCACGGTTGGAAGGGTGAGTCTAAAAAGAGTGAGGTTCTATGTAGCTGTTCTACTTTTTATCTTTATCTCAATCTGAAAGAGATCCCAAAAAATCAAGAAAAGGAAAATAGCCAGAAAAGTTAGGCAGCAAGAACATAGCTGTGCCTATTTATTTCTTGGTAATCTGCAGACATTCAGAAACCTGCCCTATGTAAAGAAATCAGTGTATTCTAAAACCAGAACCATTCCTGAAACCCAACCCCAATCACAACAGTTGGTGATGAGAGTCTAGTGAGGATTTTAGAGAATAAGGACACATACAAATTCAGAATAAAGGCAAGGGGCCACTTTCCACTAATCACTGCAGGTGCACAGGCTGAGGGGAGGTATACTGGGTTTTCTGGGTTATCTAGGTATCATTCATGACCAGTTTCCATGCAGTGTCTTTTCTGTTATACTTCCTCTTCCTACAATCTGCCTAGCACAGTGATCACTCTAAGTTTAAGCAATTTTTCTCAGACAAATGTGAATGCTGTTTTGATATTGACTGTGTTTTGATTTTGTTTATTCTGAATTATATGCCCCCCCCCCTTTGGAGGAGGAAAGAAAGTAATAGGACACAGAGTTCCACTTTCTACAACTCCAGCTTGATCAAAACATAAAAATAATGATCATGGGGCCAGCAGGTGGCATGGTAAAGATGGTGGACTCCTACATGGCCAACCACAAGACCTGGTGGCTTGAAACTCATGCTGGGCATGTGTGCACGTGCATTCTTCATAATTAGAATCCTGGGAGAATAGAGAAAGAATTGTAGCATGGCCGTCCTCCCTGGAGAGATGATTTCCCACTTTCTCTCTCACTGTCTTTCGCTGGTGGTGCACATGCCCTATGGCAAAAATCTTAAAAAAAAAAGGGTGATGAAATGCTAACTTTGGTTGTTTCAGGACTATTACTCATTGGTAATAACCTTCTTTTAAATATATAGTTTTACTAGTTTCAAAGCACCTTTGCATATGCTATCTGACAGAATCTTCACAAGAACCCTGGAATATCAATAAGACTGATCTCACCTCCTTTTACAGCTGACCAAACCCAAGTCTAGAGATGTTATCATTCAGTAGAGATTTACAGACACTTACCAGATACTACCCACTGTGCGGACATGCCAGAAATCTGCCTAAGACACAGTTCCTGTCACTAAACATCGCCAGTTCCTACAGGGAGGCCCCAAGTCAACAATGATCACAATACAAGCTGTAGAAGCCAGCATTAAAGGTGTGGAAGTACACTGGGAGCACGGCCAAGCCTCACTGTGCCCAAGTAATCACTGACCTATTTTGGTCAAAAGAAAGGTGTCAGGCCAGTCTAGGAATGAGGAAAGAAGCCAGGGCTCCTGTCTGCTGGCTACAGTTAGACTCTGCTGTCTCTTCCCTTTAACACTTCTTACATCCACACTTTTTTTCTCAGCCAAAGCTATTTTTCCAGGTTCCTCCCCATGTTACATAACCTTATACCCTTTACTTACCTGTACAGATCCTACAGGTGTCTACACTGACATCAATAAAAACAGATTCAGCAGGTAAGAAACATTTATATAAGTATTCATGTCTGGTCATACAAACTATAAAGTTCTTTGAGGAAAAGATCCAATTTATGTAACTGTCACCTCCTAGCAAGTACTCAAATACAAAACCACAAGCTAACCAGGATTTGAGAGAATAATGAACAATCTGCTAAAACATACTTAAAATGTATAAGATCTAAACTGCATCTATGTGATTTTCCTGGATGAAAAGCCTTAAGAAACTCAGCACAACAGACTGTCAGAACCATTTTCAATTTGAGCTTTCAGACTTCCTCAAAGCCTCTAATCACAAAGAATTCTCAAATCTATCTCTTACTGCACTTCCACTTTTAAAAATGTGAATGTTAAATTCAGGGTAGTTTTCAGTACAGGTTTATTATGTGTAATACAAAGATAACACCTATCTCCCCAAGGTTGGTCAGGACTGAAAGAGTTGGTACATGCCAGTTCATATTTACTAGATATTGCTTTAAGAACTCACTATCCCAGCCCCAGCAAAATTTACCAATAATATCAATCTGAAACTTGAAAAAAGTAAGATTATGTAAAAAAGGATGATAAAAGCTGCAAATACATGTAAGTCTCAAAAACAAAGTTGAGAAACAAATGCTTTTGTCAAGGGGGCTGCAAGGCCTTCCTGATGCTGGGAGAAAAACTTACTCTTCCCAACGACAGCTGAAGAGAACATGAGGATACAGATCTTCAGAGGCATAACATCCCAATGTAGAATGACACCTACCACCTCTGAAGGTGAACTACACCAGACTATTTTAACAATCAAGTAACCATTTACTAGACCTTTAACTTAAAAAAATTCCATGAAGGGGGCTTACAACCTCTTCCTAGGTGTTAATATATTAGGTATACATATATTAAGGTGGTTTAACCTCATAAAATCGGGAAAGTGCCTGGGTAACTTCAGTTGTACACATGAAGAAACCGAGGCAAGGAGAGCACTGCCTGTCCCAGGCACAGGGGCGGGGTATGGCTGGGGTGTGGGTCCGCGCCCTGCGGAAAAACCTGTCCGTGAACAAGAGCGACACAGCCACACTGGCGAAACCCAGATCTACAGCTTTGGCGCTCGGACAAGGGCCAGGATCAGGACCAGGACGAGGACCAGCACCAGCACCGCACGGCTCAGGCAAAGCGGCCCTTCTCAAGGTCCACGCCTGAGGCCGGACCGCCGGCAAAAGCAGGCCAAGACCCCAGGGAGGAGGGCCGGGACCAGGAGACATTCTCCGAATCAGGGAAGGGGCCCCAGGGTGCGAGGTTGGGGTCTCGGGCTATGAGGTACGGGGTACTGGGGAGTGTGTGTGTCGGGGGTGGGGGCCCCGAGGCACGGGACAGGGGTCTCGGGGTGAGAGGCCTAGCGGGGAATCTGGAGAGAGGGCGGGAGTTCCAGGGGGCGGGTCTGGCAGGGGACTCGGTACTGAGCCAGGCGCGGATTCCGGGTCCAGGATGAGGGGTGGGCAGAGAACCCGGGGTGAGGGCTTAGGCGAGAGTCCCAGAGTTGGGCGCGGGTCCTGGGTCCGGGGTCCTGGGTGAAGGGCGGAGGTCCCGAAGTGAGGGCAGGCGAGGGACTCGGGTGCAGGTCGGGAGGGGTTCCTGGGTCCCAGGGCGTGCGGCCGGCGCTCACCTTCCGACAGCTCCAGCTCCAGCTCAGCCAGGCCCTCGCGCACCTCGGCGGGCAGCGGCGCTGCCTCCAACGGGCACCCACGG